TTGACCCTGTCTCAGAGGCAGACACCAGATTTTCTTCCAAGCCTCAATTTCTCTGCTCTGCCACCATCTTTCCTTGTCCCTAACCCTTTTGTCCTGGGAGACATGAGATGCTTATGTGACTAAATAGCCTTGGTCTCTACTTTATCTTGGCCCCTTCCCCCTACCCCACCTCTCATTGCCATGGGTCCATCTAGAATCACTGATTTGACTGGAAACAGGCCGAAGGACATGTAATGTAGACTGTAGTAATGGCCTTCCATTTTAATGAATTCGAAATCATATATTAATTTATGCACCCCCTCCCCCAGCTCCTTAAACTGGAATTCTGCCTGGAATTTTGAAAGATTTGCAAGATGGTAATTGGCCCAACCTCTCAAAGTTGTGCCAAGGTGGCACTTGGGCGCATTGGAAAGAACAGTCTAGTTCTTTCCAGCTGGGCAGTGAAACAATACCAACACTCTTCAGTAATTCCACTTTGGAGAAATCTTGTTCTGCCATAACCCTACTTTGTGTTCAAAGATTTATATAGCGACTTTCCCGAATGAGCATTTACAGGACCAGAGTCACATAAGTTGTTGTTTGTCCTTCATTCTTGAAGAGGACCATGACATCAGGGAGGTGATACCATGACTTGCAAATGAATTGGATTTAAGTGAAACAGGGCTGTTCAAAGTCACAAGCCTCACTTTCTCCTCTGGAGCCACCTGGGTCCAATGGCCAGATATCCATCAAGATGACTTAAGAAGGCCCCCTTAAGGCTAGGTAAGAAATGACACAATGAGCACTGGCCCTGAAGTCAGGAGGACCTGAGTTCAAATCTGGCCTCAGACCAAACACTTGTCACTTACTAGCTGTGTGACCCTGGGCAAGTCACTTAACCCCAACCGCCTAAAAAAAAAAAAGAAAGAAAAGGAAAAAAAAGACACAATGAATGGCCACTTTTACCTAGTCAAAAAAAAATCCATTTGGGAGGTGAAGACCCTCAGAGTTGTTGACCAAAACAGAAATAATTGCTATTTACACACATTCTGAGCCATCAGGGCCCAAACAACGACCAAGTGAGGCTTGAGCTGGACCAGTTGGCCAATCAGTGAGAGCCAGAGTGATTTGGGTTTAAGACTTGGTCCTTAAAAAAGAAAGGTGTCTTTCAAAATTTCACAGTCTCATAAGAAGCAAGATCAAAGGAAGAGTCAGGAGTGAGGAGGACCTGGGTTCAAGTCTCGCCCCTGAGATTTAGCTGTGTGACCACGAACAAATCACAAAATCTCTTAGTGGCACCAGACAACTCTTGTCGAACAGGAAGACACTGATGAATTCACAGGTTCAGAATCACCCCCACCCCACCCCCCAAGTCATATTGGACAGTTTAGACATTAATGTTAGAATTTTGTGGAATTAATGGCATCACAGAAGGGCATTGCTCTGTCACAGTCTCTTAACCAGATGGTGTTGAGTGTTCCACAAAACAAGTACTTCTCTATACTCCCCTTTTTTTTTTTTTGGTGAGGCAATTGGGGTTAAGTGATTTGCCCAGGGTCACACAGCTAGTAAGTGTCAAGTGTCTGAGGCCGAATTTGAACCCAGGTCCTCCTGAATCCTGGGCAGGTGCTCTATCCACTGCACCACCTAGCTGCCCCTATACTCCTTTCTTACAACTTAGATTTGACCATGTTATGAATGGGAGGGGTAAAAGACATCACAGCAATGGCCCAGGTTCTCTGGCTCCCAGATCCCTGTCCCCCACAAGAGTGCCTCTGGTTTGGGGTAGTGTGGCACAATGGAAAACTTTATTCCACTGACAGTCGGAAGACCAGAGTTTACCTAGAGAAAGTTGCTTAACCTCTCTGGGCCTCAGTTTCCACATCTGGAAAGTTGGAAGGTTAGTCTAAATCAGAAGTGTCAAATTCAAGTTGAATCCAACACCCCTGAGTGCTGTCTGATCCAGATCCAAATGTAATCAGGAAATATTTGATAAAATAAAAATATAATACAACCCAAATAAAATGTAAATATGTGATTTTATAAGTCGATAATAACTGATAGCACAGGACTAGATGATGTCTGAAGTTCCTTACAGGCTTAGGCAGGGGTACTTTGTCTCTGGATTCCACAAGGCTGTGGGGCTAGCTCAGGGCATCCTGGCATTTTGTATGTGTTGTTACAGTTTACAGGATGTTTTATATCCATTATCTCAATTTTTAAAAATTGAAAGACAAAATGGCTTTGTAGGGGCTAGATAGCCAGCCTCCAAGTCAGAAAGACAGGTTCAGGTTCCATTTCTTTTTTTTTTTTTCTTTGGTGAGGCAATTGGGGTTAAGTGACTTGCCCAGGGTCACCCAGACACAGTAAAAGCGTCAAGTGTCTGAGGCCAGATTTGAACCCAGGTCTTCCTGACTCCAAGGCTGGAGCTCTAGCCACTGAGCCACCTAGCTGCCCCTTCAGATACCATTTCTGATAAATAACCCTGGCACTGGGACCCTGGGCAAATCACGTCCCTCTAGAATGGTGGCATCAAACTCAGATAGAAACAGGAGCCTTGAAATTGTCCATAAGGATCCCTGCAGGCTGCATAGTGCCTTAGAAAGTCATAAATTGTCTATGTTCTATTGTATTTTCATTTTGTTAAATAGTTCCCAATTACATTTTCATCTGGTTTGAGTTTCACTCTTGAGTGTTGTGGGTCTGATGTGGCTGGCTTCTCCTCTCTAAGACTAACTTAAAGCCAAGGTACCCACCCACCCACATTGGTGGAAGGAACCTGTTCAGCAAAGAGGTCTCTCTATACCAGTGAAATAATAGGTCTAGGGTCTTATCTAGTGGTGGCAGGAACCTCAGAGGCCATTAAACTATTCATTTTACAGGGCAGGAAACAAGTGTAAGGTGGGGGGTGGGAAAGGACTAAAGGTCAGAAAATGGTATTTCAGGTGTATTCAATAAATCAATTAACAAGTAATTAAGCATCTACTAATTATCAAGCAAATTTGAATCAGCCCCCACCCCACCAGCAGCTTTGTTGTTGTGGGGCACACACCCATGCTGTTCATGGCATTTTCTTGGTAAAGATACTGGTGTGGTTTGCCATTTCCTTCTTCAGCTCATTTTCCAGCTGAGGAAATTGAGGCAAACAGGGTGACGTGATTTGCCCAGGATCACACTGCTAGGAAGTGTCTGAGGTCACATTTGAACTCAAGTCTTCCTGACTCTAGGCCCTGCACTCTATCCACTGCACCACTTAGCTGCCTCCCACTGAGCCATCTAGCTGCCCCAAGGAGCTTACATTCTCTTATTTTCATGGGAAATAGCCTCCCTCGATAAGTGCGTGGCATTTCCCTCCATATTGCTTTGCACTTTGCACGGCTGCTACAAACAGGGGCTACATTAATGGGTCTTTTCCAAAATGTTTTCCCCCCAACTCCCCCGGGATCTGCAGAAACAGGTGGCTTCTGCTTCGATGCCTCGATTTGGGGTTCACTTTGGACAAAAACCAGGCGTGTGGCCCAGGTTCTGTGTCTGGGGCTGAAGAAGGAGGCCCCAGAGCACGCAAAGCAGGATTGGCCCAAGTGATCCGCTAGATTGCCGCATCAGCCCTCCCCACCCCTCGCATCCAGCAGATTCACCTGCCAACTTCGCCCTCGCCTCACTCCGCCGCTTGAGAGCCGGCGTCTGGCCTTCCCCACCCCATTCCCCGCTCTTCAGCCAATCGGTGGTAAAGTGCCCCGAGAAAGGGTGGGGCCACAGAGAGGGCACCGCCCCTCGCTACCAGATGACCAATAGGCAGAGGCGGAGGCCGAACCCGCACCTAGAGCTCCGCCCCCCCAGCCGGTAGACAATATAAGAACGCGCGCGCCTGGCGGGAAGGCAAGATGGCCGAGGCGTCGTGCTGAGTACGCTCTTGCTGCCGAGTCACCTCTCCTCAGCCTCGCCTTACCGGCCTCAGGTCTCATCTCCCAAGTCACTGTTCCACTCGCAGTGGTCCCCGAGGCCTGTCCGCCGAGGACCGCAGGGTGAAGATGCCGAACATCAAGATTTTCAGCGGCAGCTCCCACCAGGACCTGTCCCAGAAGATCACCGACCGTCTGGGCCTGGAACTGGGCAAGGTGGTGACTAAGAAATTCAGTAACCAGGAGACGTGGTGAGTGGCCGGGACCGGGGCCGGGGCCGGGGCTGGGACTGGGGCTGGAGTGAACCGGGTCGGGGTCGGGGCTGGGTCGTGGGTCAGGGCCGTTGGCCTGGGGCCGACCGGTCTCACGCGCGCGCATGCGCTGGCGGTTGGACTACCGGTCGGCCGTTGCGCTGGGACGGAGGCTGGAACTGGGGGAGCGTCGTGGTACTGGGGGGGCTACCGGGAGGGAACGGGGGCGCGGAGAGGGGGCAGAAGGGGCGGCACTAGCAGTCACCACCTCGTGGCTGGGATCGCGGACCGCGGTTTGCCACTCGGGAGGGCAGGCTAGCGGGCCAGTGGAAAAACGGGCTAAGACTCGCTCCTCGCCTCCCCTCCACCCCGGGTGGGGGTGGTGCGGCCCCAGCCTCCTTGATCAAGGCCAAGGCCAATATCGCCCGCTGGCCTTGGGCATGGGTACCGTGGAACTGGCCTTTGGCTTGAAGCAGCCGCGGATAAGTGCCTACTGTGCCGTGTGGTCTAGTGGTTAGAGCTCTGGACGGGGAAACCCTAGGTTCAAATCCCAGCTCTGCCCCTCGGTAGCAGTGTGACCGTGGGCAAGTCACTTAAGCGTTTCTCCCGGTGCCTCAGTCTTCTCACCCTTAAGACAGAGATAGGGACGTGTATCCCTCTCTCTGTGCAGGTTGGCTTAGGGAGTGGTTTTGGGAGAGTTTTCGTGGGGGCACTAAGAACCTTGCCCAAAATCACTGGGAAGCGTCGTGGTGCTACAGAAAAAACACAGTGGTTTTGGAGTGGAAAGGACCTGGGTTCAAATCCCCGCCCCCACCTCCATGTTTGGGCCTCAGTTTCATTAACTGTGAAATGTAGGAATTGGGCTAGATAGCTTCGGAGGTCCCATCCAGCTCTAGATCTGGGAGCCAGTGGATGTTAGAAGCCTCGTTTGAATCTCGATTTTCCTGACTCACTCCACACTGTTTATGGCTTCCTAATCTGGAAAATGGGGATAACGATAGCACCACTTCATAGGATCATTGTGTAGACTAAATGAGATGATACTTGGGAAATGCTTTGCAAACCTTAGAGTGTCCTGTAGAAATACCTATTATTGTTAATGAACCAGCACTCCTGTCCTTTGCACCTGTTTCCTGAAAGCAATCAGTCAATAAACTTTTAATCACTGGGCTAGAGGCCAGAGATACAAGACAAAAATGAAACAGTCTCTGCCCTCAGGGAGCGACCATTGTATTGTGAGAGACAGAAAATAAGTTGGAATTTTAAGATTATAGATTTTGAGTTGGAAGGGCACCTCAGACCTTCTAGTCCAGGGATTCTTAATCTGAGGTCCATGGATAGATTTCAGGGGGTCTGGGAACTTTAATGAGAAAACAGTGATATCTTTATTTTCACTAAATGCTAACTGAAATTTAGCATTTCCTTTAATTGTTTGAAAACATGATTCTCAGAAGGGGTCCACACCCAAGGGAGGCATCCAGGACCCACCAAAAAGGTTAAGAAGCCTTCTTCATTTTCAGATGAGGAAGCAGTGACTTTGACTTGTCTAGGGTCACACTGGTGGGGATGTGGAGGAGCAGGATTTCAGGCTGGGTGCTCTGGTTTTTCCAAATTGATCGTTCTTTCCTCCATACCACAACGATTCCCACTTGGGTTCTCCTGTTCTCTGTGTAAAAACGGATCAACATTTGAGTTGAATAGAGCTAGAAGTGTGTGTGTGTGTGTGTGTGTGTGTGTGTGTGTGTGTGTGTGTGTGTGTGTGT